CGTATAATTTCAGACCAAATTGCACTCCACTCAGTTCAATTACCATTATAAATCAACTATCTGTGAATAATATCTGTAGTTTACCCTGCTCACTGCTACTTTCAGCGTTTTCCGGTCTGCCGCCCTCGGTATCGTCCGCATCATAACCCACTATCAAAAGAAACAACATATTACAAAACTTGAGAGTACTCTCTAAAGGGTTAACACACCAATAGCTATAATCCCAGACAAAAAAGTTGGGACACGAAGTAAGTTCTCCCCTCCCCCCACTTTCAATCTTTATAATCAGGTGATTTTTTCCCTTTTTGTTGAAAAAAAAACGCGATATTTTCCAACATTGATTAGGGGGGATGGGGGATACGTGATACAGCTCAAGTGTCCCAACTACTTTTGGCCGGGATTGTCTGAAAGAGATATGCGAGGAATTTTCCAATGAAGGTAACACCAGCGATTGTCATGGCGTCACGATATTTTAGAATTCGACTTCGGGTCAATGACGTACACTTTGTTTCTGGAGTTTGGACAGAACTTTTCTACGTTAATCTAGATTAAGGCTCGGTGCAGATATTCGTGGAATATAACTCGTAATCGCCTGTTCCAAAAAGAAATCTGCGACTTGCTTCAAGCAAAATGGCATTGAAGGGAAGGTTAGAGCTCGTGTCTATTATTTAAGACATTTTCCAGGATTATCAGTTCGCAAAGTAGCAGATCTTTGTGTTGTTCCATGGAATAGTGTTAAATAAATTGACTGAAACTCACTGAATCAGATATATCACCATTACAGACATTATTACACGCGACACGACAACTTCCGGATTCCATGTGTTTGCAACCTAACCTTACCTGTTCTTCCCAAGTGGCAGAAGGTACAAAATTTCTCACTTCACATTATTTGAAATGCAGGATGGAAGCAATTTGGTGGCAAAATAGTCGAGTTTGACACTTGAAATATGGTTAACCGTTTGCCGGGGACAATAAGTTAACTACGTAACTACCCTTTCTATTTCAATTGAACGGTTAACCATATAAGCCTTCCCGCAAAGCTCTCTTTTGCTCCGTAGTTCTTGATCCCAGACAATGTTAAATGGTTTTTCGTAATGCCTATAAAGCGGAATAAGGTCTAATTCGAATGACACGAAGCAGTTTGGAACCAAAATGTTTTACCAGTAATGGTTAATCGTAAGGATTAATCGCGGCGGTTAACCCGGTGACACTTCTGAAGCCGAGAACACACCTCGCTTTATACGCGTTCCGGTATTAGAGGGGAAAACGAAGAGAGACATGCCTGATTTAATCGCGTTTAGGTAGCAGCAACGCTTTATTGCTGTCCACAGATAAACTCCGCGAAACAACGAGGACAAGGCGAAAGTATCGGCCACTTGCTCGGTACCAACTGTGTCAACCAAATTTGCATCATTTCTGTTTCGCGCGAATCAACCACCCCCTCTAAAGACGTAGACAAGGTCATCTTTTTCAGTGCAGGAAATAGAAACATCCTTTTCAAACACAATATCTTGTGCATAGTTGAATTTTACGGGGGAGCAAGTGGGTCGTTAGCCCCTCGAGAGGCAACAGAAGATCATGTCATGGACTTATCAACCGCCTACCCTAGAAGGTCATTTAGAAATATGACTTTACGTTTTTTAGTGCTTACCCAAGTAAACCTTGCCATTGCATGCCGTTTCCGGCTTTTTAGTAGCGCTCGTTAGCTGTACCTGCGTGACGGTACAACTTCCTTCTTCTCCATCCTTTGTTAGAGCGAGTGGTGTGACATTCTTGTTTCAGACAATCCTAGACAAAAAAGTTGGGACACGAAGCAAGTTCTCCCCTCCCCCGCTTTCAATGTTGATAATCAGGTGATTTTTCTCCCTTTTTGTTGGAAAAAACGCGATCTTTTCTAACATTGATTTCACCATATCAAATCGATCCCAGACTGCATCTGTGTAAGCTTGTCTTTGTTGCAAAAGCGCGGAATTTCTGCCTAGAAGAGTAATTCTTAAACTAGATATCGTTTGTAAGCTACAAGAATTTACAGCCTGGAGAGCTCGAATTAACAAACGATACTTTGTCAGGTTTACCTTTGTCGTCAATAGGCTGATTGTCTTGGAGTTCTTCAGCGGCAGAAAACCTGTGATTTACCCCTAAATAACAATAGAAATTCATTATGATATAAGGATATCAGCTCTGGTTTAAGGTCTCCACCATTTTAGAAGCAAATTTAGCCCCGATTTTACACCTAGCTAGGAATTTACGAAAAGTTTTAACGCGGTAAGTTAAGGCATACCGATACACCAGGCAAGAGATACATAAGAATTTTCAAGGTGAACCAAAAAGTAAATGGGAATTGGGGCTTGAAACATTAAAAGGGACTAAGACTAAGCCAAAAATATACCTGGTAAAGTTTTGCCTTTTCCTTGATGTAATTCCCTCACACCTTCGCTGCTACTCCCCGCCGATCCACTGTCGCTTTCATGATCACTGGCACTACTGCCATCTGAACTCTCATCTTCACTGCTCCAGCTGCCTTTACGCGAATCTCCTACATCACCTTGCAAATCATCACAAACTACAGCAAGTTGAAGAGGACTTGCATCCACAGACTCATCAGCAGTATTCAGTACACTGGTATGCGTGTTCAGAGCACTAGTGAACTTCCGGCCAGGCGAGTCAGCAAGGCTTAGGTCAGCGGTGTTAAGCCTTGATGGACCTTTCACCTGTGATTGGTCTGTTACTATAAAATGTTAATAATACTCAGAACCTTTGTATCGAATCAACAAGATACGACCAGGCTGAAAATTAACTGTTAACTGGAGAAAGCAATCAAATGATTTTCATTAGCTTTCATTATAAAGTATTAACAAACGAAAGGACGAAAACACTCTTGCTTTATGGGTTTATAAGCGAGCTGGGAAACCTATGCACAAAAGGAAGGTAATATTATAAGGAAATTTGTTTCAACTCACTTATGGTAACATCTGAAGATAAAAAGTACATATTACGCTTGTCTTTACTACGACGTGCTGTACCTTAGTACAACCTTCGCTAACTGTCTAATAATATTACCTTTAGCCTGTAGTGCACTTAGCATGTACGGTCATCATATGATTATAAGTAAGCTCATACAAAATTGCAAAATCGGTCTCACTAGAATTTGTTAAAATAAAACATACCGCTTTCAGCTTGTGAGAATGATGTAGACGCCGACAGTTGTGTACGGTGGGTTGACGGGATGGAAACCGGAGTAGGATCAACAGCAGTTTCTTCTTGTTTCTGATCTTGTGGTTGCATAGACATTGGGAGGGAGGGTGGCGCTGATGTCTCTTTGCTCTTCTGTCGGAAAAGACGTTGAACGCAACAAAGCTTCAGTGCCGCTCATAATTACCTTACCTCAAGTCATGAGTTAAATATATCAACATACAATCAATGGACCTGACACTAGTGCTCTCCCTCATTTCACAGCAGAAGAATCAAATGACATATTTTTTTAGTACTAGTTGTGTACAGCTAGTAGCTATCCTACCGGTTGTCTTGTCACTTTGGGCTTCTGCATCTTCTTAGCTCGTGCAGCTGCTGCGCTGGCTTGATGGATTTTTTCTTGAAAAAAAAAAAAAAAAAAATCAAAATCGTCTTTTATACACCGAATATAAGAGTCATATTTTATCTAACATCAGATATATGTCACGTGCTTTTACACTTGCTAATATATAGATTTAGCCAAGCCTAAAAGCGGAGCTCCTGATTAAATAATTAACCATGAATAAAGAGGATATTTTTCCCTAGATCAGAAACTCAAAAATGATCAAGTGTCAGCATGTGATTGTTCAGTGTGTGGTCTCACTATTTTTTCTAGTTACATTTTAACAAACCATACCTAATGAGTGTACCCAAGATTGCGGAAATTACGCAGGCAATATATCAGGGACTTTCCAAGAGACGACTGTGCAAGGAATATGTCGGAAGAAAAGTCAACAACGCGTCAGGGTTTAATTTGCGCCGAAATTTTGCCTTTGCATTTACTCCCTCCCTCTACCCTAGAGTAATAACCTAGCTTGAGCCCGCGATCCAATCGAAAACCAAATCAAAAAAGCACGCGACCTCGAAGAGCTCTTGACCTGTGCCCGCGACATGGTCATGTGAAACTGGTCAGCGGATACCTTGTTTTGACAGCTGTCAATTAATTATAACATGGATGTCTAATATCAAAGATATACCTATGGTAATAGTGTTACTCTCTTATTTTTCAAGGTATGGGGCTTGGCGTAGGGACGTGCGGACAGTCACGTGACAACCAAAACTTTTCAGATCGATGGGTTACCAAATTTTCTAGGGTATGGGGCTCCGCTCGCTCGCCTTGGGCGCGCAGGAGCTCCGCTACATCGAAAGTTGAGATGACCTTGCTTTGATACAGACCTTTCTGCTTTTCTCATTTAAATGCAAAGTAGTCAGCATTAGAGCAACTTGATTTACACAACAGCATCGAGGTCTGTATCAAAGCAAGGTCACCTCCACTCTCGCTGCCATTCAAAGGCCAGGCCACTGAGCGGCCAACTGTAAATGGTCTACTGCAATTTAAAATAATTAAGACATGGTAAATTCACAAAAAGAGAAAGAATTGGACAACAAATTAAGGATTGTCCTTAATTCGAGAGGTTGCACGCCCACAACCCTCAAATTAAGGCGTGGAAATACTTTATCAATTAATCGTCTTACCAAATTCTTCCTCGGAGCGGTTCCGGTGAAGATATATCCAGACTTTCCTGTTGCTGTCGTATTTAACACACGGATCACGTTCATAGTGAAGCCTGTCTAAAGCACCGCTGACAACTGTATGAATCTGCTCACAAAAATACAAACGTCCGAACACATTTTGAGTTAACAACACTAACAACACTGTGAATCATAGTAATTATATCCTAGCATATTACGACGAAGAGTTAAAATCGTACTAGAAGTTACGATATTATAAGTGAAATGCTGGCGCATTGTAATCTAGCGTAAGACATCATGAAATAAATACTTGAAACTTATTGTTTCGCACAGTCGCTAAAGGTTACTTGTTCCTGATAAATTTATTTCACAGTAAATATGAAAAAGTTAAATTTTCTTCACCACTGCACATAGTTTTTTGGAAACTCGTAAAAGCACACAACGCTTTTTTCATAATCCTCTGCTAATAAGTAGTAGTCAGTGCTCACAACTCATGCTTTTTAACACCACGACAAGAAGCAGTCAAACACTTCTCATCACAAGATTAGTATGTCTGTCTGATGTAGCCTCTTCCTGGCGTTCAGTTAGTTGGGGCGCACCCGCGGTATCATGGCAGGTGGATTGGTAGTGTTTGGAAATCGCGGTCTTACGTTGGCGCTTTGAAAGAAAACCTCATCAACCTATACATTTTCTGAAAGCTTAATAGCTACAGAATACAACCATATCTTTGAAATTTTCTAAGAAGTTACTGTCGCAACGATATGAAAAGAAATACCCAGAAAGACTGCTTCACTTAAACTGGTTCGCTTCCGCGCGTGAATTATCGGCGCGATTATCATCGGAAATGTTTTCTCACACATAACCCTCAAAAAGGGTGGCGGCGATTTTCCAGATGTGGGTTGCGTTTTCACTAGGCCGATTAACTAGCTGAACATTCTTTCCGGGTGTTTGTTTGGAGAACAACATCTGCTAGTTAAAACGTGACATCTGTTTCCACAGGAAATTTAACCCAGAGTTTAACCCTGACTCAAGATTCAAATTTCCAAAGCACGCAACTTTCAAAAATGGCTGAGAGAGGACGCGCTTTTAATGACTTCTCTTGTATTGTTTGTAGCTATATTTATGCGAAGGAGATCGAGAAGGCATTTTTTCCAGAGGATGCGGTTAATGTCCCCAGAAATGAAGAAGATGCGACGAAATGTTGTAATGAAGGAACTCGTTCTCCACGGCCACGCCGTGTCATAGGTAGGGTCCTGGCCGAGGAACTGGAGAATCTAACGACACTGTAGGAATGGTAAACCGAAATAAATGAGGACTGTTGAACTCGTCTGCCGTTTTTAACGTTCTGCTTCGCAAACTGAACCATGATACGAGCGTCTGGTAAATGCTATTGCCAGATTCTTTGGCAGGAGTCTGTCACTTCGCACAATGAGATTGACTGCGGCATTTACCAGGACAAGTTATACCATCTCCCGAGGTAGTAATATCTAGATTTAGGCCAGCCTAAAAGCGTAGCTCCTGGGCCGGGTTGTTCAAAGCCCGATTAAGCTAACCCAGGAAAAGGTAGAATTTTGATGTTTTCTGTATATTGTTTGGCCTTCTGTTTTGAGTTTTAATAATCATCATATACACAAAACAAAGCATCAAAAAACATTTGTATAGGAGAAAAAGTTATAATTCGGTTAACTTTTAATCCTGAGTTTTAACCGGCTTCCGAACAATCCTGCCCTGTTTTCGACAAGTTAACCTGACATGAGCCGCGATCCAATCAAAAACCAGCATTTGGTCAGCGGTCAACTTAAAAAAAACGTGACTTCGATGAGTTGTAAACTTGAGCCCGCGATATGGCACGTAATACCGGTTAGTGGATACTTTGTTTTGACAGGTGTCAATTGATCATAACATGGATGTCCAATATCAAAGAAGTACACGGTAAAAAAAGGCTCCCTGATAAGAAATAACACGCAAACTGCGGTGATAAACATGACAATAAAACACATGTTAAAAAACAAAGTTCATTTACTTGACGTTTCGTATGTGACCGTTAGGAATAGAAGTAACAACTAAATTTTAATTTAAAATAAGTAACTAATTAACAATTACAATGACAGAAGCTGAGAAAAATTTGCATCTAAAGAATGCAAACTAATACAGATAAAGCTTTTCGCTGCTTACATTATCATTTAGGGCGGGTTTTAACTCCCTTATTAGCAGAGTCTCTTATCTTATCTTCTGAAGATGTATGTTGAAACATACGAAACGTCAAGTAAATGAACTTTGTTTTTTAACATGCGTTTTATTGTCATGTTTATCACTGCAGTTTGCGTGTTATTTCTTATCAAGCTACGATGGCCAAAGAAAAAGAGTATTTAAAAGGCTGCCTGTCTCTGTCAACCTAATAGGCACCCTAGGACACCAGGACGGGACGAGCTAGGGCGGCTACCGGAAGTAAATTTATTCAACCGGGCATGCGCACGAGAACTCTCGACTTATCTCTCTGCCGTCCTCGTCTCAATCTCGTTCCCAGAGGCCTCGTTCCCCTTGACCAGCGGTCGGAAAACGAGTGCTCTGGGAGCAACCATTTCAGGCATGCGCCATAGATGCAGGCAGAATCACCAGAATTCAGGTATTTCAAAATGGTTGCTCCCAGACCTCTCGTTTTCCAACCGCTGGTCAAGGGGAACGAAGACTCTGGCAACGAGATTGTCCTCGTCTCGTCGAGGACGCCATTACACTGAAAATTATGCACTCTAAAACAACCCAATGTACGTATGTAACTCTCACACTCCCCTCCAAACCGGACTAAAAATCACAAACCGGCAACATACACGTCACTCTTTATTTTTCAATTACCAAAGTCCTTGTGTTTATATATACAT